GGTCAATGGTCCTTTACTTCAACTGTTGACTAGTCTAATCACAACGTTGGTGGAGCCCTACCACAGCTCATCACTTTAACTGTTCACTAGTCTAATCACAACGTCGGTGGAGCTCTACCACAGCTCATCACTTCAACTGTTCACTAGTCTAATCACAACGTTGGTGAAGCTCTACCACAGCTCATCACTTTAACTGTTCACTAATCTAATCACAACGTTGGTGAAGCTCTACCACAGCTCATCACTTTAACTGTTCACTAATCACAACGTTGGTGAAGCTCTACCACAGCTCATCACTTTAACTGTTCACTAATCTAATCACAACGTTGGTGAAGCTCTACCACAGCTAATCACTTTAACTGTTCACTAATCTAATCACAACGTTGGTGAAGCTCTACCACAGCTCATCACTTTAACTGTTCACTAGTCTAATCACAACGTTGGTGAAGCTCTACCACAGCTCATCACTTTAACTGTTCACTAATCACAACGTTGGTGGATCCCTACCACAGCTCATCACTTTAACTGTTCGATAGTCTAATCACAACGTTGGTGAAGCCCTACCACAGCTCAGCTAAGGATCCCTTTTTGCTCTTTGAAAGAACACAATTTAGTCCCAGACGGTTTGTGATACACACTCCGTGAGACGTTATCAGTTGCCGCACGCTGAAAGCATTCTCAAGATGGGATCCCAGCGCATATGGATTTGTTGAATGTGCGATGAGGATCATGACCTGTGCATTAACTAACTAACGAATCCATTCAATCTGTGACGTGACGGGTGGTTAAAATGTTTTATAATGTTGAGTATGGATGTACCTCTCAACACATTCCCTCCACCAGATTAACGAACTAAAATCTGAGCTATGTTGCTCTCAGACAAAGTCCTGGATATCCAAGAAAACAGCCATATTGGCTCGTTAAGTACTTTAACATTAGCTGCACTTGGTACCCACAAGAGAAGGCAAGGAATTTTAGATGTCTATCAGACTTAATGAATTATTAGACAGGGCAAGTGATTCCTCCGTCATCTACCTTCTCCCGGTGTTATTATTAATAATTAAAGAATTATTATATTATTTGAGCCCCCACCAAATGTACTTCTATCTATCAGTTTAGAAAACAGGTAAGATTGAATACACTTGGAATTTAACAAACGATGTAGTATAAAACTTGACATACAGCTTTATTTTCTAACAATCAGTTAATTGACATACCCAGTTTGTTGTGTTTACACAAACAGTGACTAGCTAAAGTTATACTAGTAATGGGTTGTTTCAGCGCGAGAACAGCACCTGGGATTAGAGTGGTGTGATGAAGGTGATAAAGTATGAACAATTTATGAACATAACTTTCATAGAACCTCTGACAGCCGTGAGCACTGTCAAGCTCTTCCTCCTCTTCCAGCTTCTTCCCTGCTTGTTTCTCCTCCTCGCCCCCACCTCGTTCTCCACCTCGTTCCCAGCTGGCCGAGTCTAACACAATGTAGGCTACTTCATGGACTGATCGTCACATGGGCGCTGTAATCATGGAAACAAAACACATACGTGTAGTATCTTGACTTACACTAAGAATACATGTATCAATTAATACAACATATAATAATAAGATATAGCCCATCACTCCTCCTCATATTCCACATCCTCTCCGTCTAGTCTGAAGGTCTTTTGTCTTACATGGGCGTCACATATCTGCCTTCCCTCAAATGCTATGTCATGATAGTTTGACTTTCTAAGTCTGTTGTCCGTCTTCACTCAGACTTCCAACTGGCTGACATTGATATTACATGACCACGTGGAGCAGGTTATGTGCTGAAAACTCAAACAATTTATATGTGTACTCTGTCCTGAATATTATCTTTCAGTGACAGTAAATACTGTACACCCATCATTCTCCCCTGGGGTTATAAATCCCCTGTTTAGGTGAACACCTTAAGTGAGCACATGGTGGGCACACAAAACGTAACAGCATCCCTGCACATATGGGCTGGATTTCCCCACAGTCCAAACTCATGTTTTGGCTGATCATGGAAACAATATAATTACATTTCATTATAGCAAATGTCATTGTTCACATCTTATTTTCTACACATGAAAACATACACTGAAAAACATGTGACACAAACATACAAGAAATAGGAATAGTTTAGCAGTTCCCTAACTGAGATACTGAATTCTCACAAAGAACTATTTCAAGCAGAATGTGCAGACAAATTAGGAAAAGGTAGTATAGACTAAGCTTAACTCCCTAATCAAAAGTATACAAGATTACAATTAATATTTTCTCTTACCTGGGAACTTTTCCATCTATCGCCAAACCAGAGTACGACAGTAAAATATACCTTTACGTCGACCTGTTTGTTTGCCGACAGGCTGCGATTAATGACGGGAATTCCACAGGCTCGAAGTATAAGTATCAATCTATTGTCCAAATTAAACTCCTCCCTTTCCTTAGTTTTTACCCAACCCTCAAGATGATGGCTTAAGCCACGCCTCCGGAGTACCCAACAGATCACATTAGCTAACAAGTGGCCTGTCAGTCAATTCTGGACTGACATCCCTAGAGCAAACATTCATAAGTGCCCCAATCTAGTTTACACCGAATCTAACTGGCCGGTGTGAAAGACGGTCAGTGAAGCCATTGTGTTTCCTACGTGACCAAGATCAAGATAAAACATTCCTAATTGCCAAACACCTGTTCTCTCCAGAATTACACTGACGTGTTAAACTCCGACCTCCCGGCTCCACAATGTCTAGCGTCTACTCAATTTCCCTGTTCAAAAGGGCCCCGCTCAGTCTCTACAGTCTGGTCAGGAGATAACATTCTGACACTAGCGTGAGAAAGGAAATTCTCTAGCCCCGGTGTAATTGCGTAACATTATCAAAGACTTAGTCGCTTTGTCTGGACTAAGGACTGGAAACGTTTAAATCAATACGGTTTAAAGTAACATTTGGTTTAAGGGCATAGTCTCTTGTCTCTCAATAACCAGAAGAACTTATTACAAGTACTAACTTCTGGAATCACTGAGATCGTTTCGTGACACAATCTAACCAGACATTTACATTTGATTTTCTTCTGCTTTTTTCCTGTTGACCTTCTGTAAACTCTGATGAAAATTCCCAAGCATTCGTCCACGCCTGGACTTTGATCTTGGTTCAGGAGTTACTTTTTGCCTGCACATCTGTTTTACTTCTTCTTTATTTGTCTGTTTTTAAAAACGTCAGTGGAGCCCAGATCCACGACCAACTCACGCTGTCGTTCTATTCTTCACTATCGCATGCAGGTCTCCCTTTGTCTCTCTATCTTTTTGACTTCACTCTCCAGCACCCTTCTCCTTGAGTTTTTTGGTCTTTCTTTATAATTATGCCACTCAGTTAGTTTGTTTGCTGAGTTATCATCATTGCACTCCCGGATTTGTCCATAGGTGCTCAGAACCTCCCGTCAGTATGTACCCAGTCCGATGGCTAATAGTATATTTTTGCTATGCCGATCTTAATTCCCAAGTCTGCCATTCTGGCGAGTGATGTGGATTCACTGCCCCCGAAGACCTCTATCCTCCCATTTCTCTACCACTGTGAGTTCCAGTACAAAGACATACTAGTTATACTGTTCTCATATCAGCTTAACTATCTATGAAACAATGCTGACAAAAGACACGGAGGTTGCATGAAATGATGTGTAAGAATGTGCCAACGAGGAATTATTTGTGGATTTGACAACAAGAGACTTATGGAAGGAAATTTCAACCACTACACCACGGCGGAGACAGGCTGCTAAAATGTTACATAGAACCTGTTCTACTGTATGGCAGCGAATCTTGGAATGTCAGTCAACAAATTAGGAATAATTTTAACTCTTTGAGTCCCAAGGAACGCATCATGCTTTCATAGATTTCTGCCTAGAGGCCCATTGAACTCACGATGAGCCGATTTTACGTCTCTCTTGACTACCCCTTGGGCCTGTGATGCTAAACCCCCTGGGACTCAAAGTGTTAAAGCAAAAGATTTGGTTTCTGAGACGAATGTCACGAATACCATGGACGGCCAGAGTAACGAACAATGATTGCTTGAAAGAGGCTAATGAAAGTAGATCTCTATATACAACAATAAGAAAGAGACAAACACTGTTCTTTGGCCACATTATGAGAAGACACACACTGGAGAACATTGTGACAACTTAAAAGATCAGTGGATTAAGGGACAAAGGCAGACCAAGAGAGATGATGCTGGATGGTCTAAAACGATGGCATGGAGGGATTTGATCGAGAGAGCTGTTCCAGGCAACCAGGGATCGTGATCTGTTGAGACGCATGAGCGCCTACGCCAGTTGGCGGGGCACATGATGAAGACACCACTGTGACTCCTATAGGCGAAATTGATCAACACATAATCTACTTGTGGTTACTGACTGTTTTACTACTGTCATGGTCATACACCCACACACACGTGCGCGCACCCCCCCCCCCCCCCACACACACACACAAACACAGACAGTAGCTGTTCTCTAGTCAAGTTCTGTGTGGAGACTGAAACTTGAACATGTCGATCTTGACTCAACTTCATCCCAAATGCCTGCCCATTTCTTGTCAATCATCATCATCATGACCAATTTGCACTTCTGCCGTCCAGCGTTGTGGTGTGGAATAGATTGCGATGTATGACTTGATGGCTAGCCATGGCAACTGTCGTTCAGTATTGATGCAAGAAGCTCTTTACTGTCATCAATCTATTTCCTTCTATGGCGGCCTCTTGATTTCGTGTAATATCTTTTTATGTGTAGCGCCTGCGTTGATAGTTGTTCTGAGTCTCTCTTGAAAGCTGACCTTAAACCAATCATTTAAACATAGTTCACCCCCCCCCCCCCCCCCCCCCCAAATCCCTTTAAAAAAAAATTATTATTCTAAAGCCCTCTTCCGTCAAATAGTTGTATATGCTAAAGGTTGAACGGGGTTCATGGGACGCGTGCTCGGGTGGTCCTCATCAGAAGGGTGCCACTTTGTGTCACTGGGTGTTGGTCGCTCGGTGACCGGTCCTGGTTAGGTTGAACAACAAACAATCAAGTAAACAAAGCCAATTACCGAGCTTGCTGTAACAAATTTGCAAGGGGAGGTAAGCATGCAGAAGACTTTCGTTCAAGGTTACCGCCCGGTAGAACCTTTCTGAGGCCTCCAGATACTGGTTCATGTGGAAGAGAACGTCCCCCTCATGCAGCAAAATGGTCGCGTTGCTGTTGGCAGAGATTCTGTTCATAGGATGCAAATATTTGTGTGTCAGTTAATATTATCATCAGGGAAGGCTCGCTCATGGGCCACATCCAAGACCTACAACAGATTGCAACGAGAGTCATGGAGAGTCATGACCTCTGCCCTATGTGCCGCACTCGACACAAGAGGAAAGACTAACTAACTAACTAAGTTAATATGGATTCAACGCCAGAAATAGCTTCTAGAATCGATCTGCCTTGAATTACCTTTAACAACCCTAACTCAATGCGTCCAATTCTCTGACGCAATTTCGATATACTTGATAGTCATCCCCTTGTGGGATGCAATTTGTTGTTATATAAAGCCCCACCCTGGCTTATGCCAGGGGCCGCAACATATCTGGGCCACAATTGTGGCCATAACGGCTAAATTGGGTTTCTGGGACCTCTCCACGGTGATCCTCATCCGCATGGTGGCACTTTGTGTCACCGGGTGTTTATCGCTTGTGTGATGTCCTGGTGGGATAGAGCAAGCAAGACGCAATATATTTTTGTTCTGTAAGTTCCCAACATGGTTGTTGCTGGGGGCCCTAAAATAACCCAACCTATGGGTTGAATGGGTTTTCTTGGAACTTTCCCCGGGTGATCCTCATCCGCATCGTGCCACTTTGTGAAACCGGATGATTATCTCGAGGTGAATGTCCTGGTGAGGTGGTATCTCACTCGTGAACGGTCCTAAAATGGGACTCAATATTTCTTTCTTTTCAAGCCCCATTATGACTGTTGCCGAAGGCCCTAATATAACCCAACCTATGAGTTGAAGAGTTTTTTCTCAGACCTCTCCCCGGGTGATCCTCATCCCAATGGTGGCACTTTGTGTCACCGTGTGCTTATCATAGAATGTGATGTCCTTGTGGGGTAGAAGGTGAATCAAATAAAACTGTGAAATATCTGGAAGTCAAAGACATTCAGCAAACAAACAAACCTTAAGAGTTTCAACTCTAATATTATTCGAGTGCACTAATGGATGCGAGTGTTGGAAAGCAACGGTAGCTCTGGGGAGGGAGCTTAAGACAATTTAAAGTACAGGTATCTTAGAAAATACTAAATTTTCACTAGACAGATTGCAGATCCAATGTACAGATCATATAAGAGACTAAGCCAGATAATGTTTAAGTATCATACTTACCTAGCAATAGATATTTCGTCCTTTTTAGGACGAATTTTTTGTGTGATTTGAAAGCCCAACCCTGGCTTTTGCCAGGGGCCGCAATATAGGCAGGCCATAAATATGGCCAATTGTCTGAACGCGGTTTCTGGGACCTCTCAACGGCGATCCTCATCCACATGGTGGCACTTTGTGTCATCGGGTGTTTATCGCTTGTGTGATGTCCTAGTGGGGTGGAAAAGTCAGTCAGTCAGTCAGTCAGATAATGTATCAAATTTTACCAAAAAAGCGCAGCACTCAGAATGGATAAGACAAGACTCCCCCATCAAGCCCTCACATGGGCACCGGAAATAAAAAGAAACGAGGAAGACCAAGGGAGACCCTGAGCAGAGCAATCTCCAGGGAAGGCTCAAACATGGACCTAATGTACATCTAAGACCTCAACCAGGTGGCAACGAACCGCCAGACATAGAGAGCTAACGACCTCCGCCCTAGGCTTAAGATGAAAAACTTACTCTCTAACTAGTTAACTAACGAATTAGTCTCTGACTGAAAATGTGGATCGGCATCTTTGTGGTGACTACATAGATAGATAGATAACAATTATTTCCAAAACTACAATTACATTTAACATCAAGGTCCATCATCGTCGTGTGCTGTGGTACCAGACATAGAGCAACCTGATTCGCCTTCTCACACCAACCCTAGAATCGTAACTCGGATCTGTGTTCTTACTAATCTCTTTGTTTCTTTCTTTCTTTGTTTCTTTGTTTGTTTCTTTCTTTCTTTCTTTGTTTCCTTGTTTCTTTGTTTCCTTGTTTCTTTCTTTCTTTCTCTCTTTCTTTCTTTGTTTGTTTCTTTGTTTGTTTCTTTGTTTGTTTGTTTCTTTCTTTCTTTCTTTCTTTCTTTCTTTCTTTCTTTCTTTCTTTCTTTCTTTCTTTCTTTCTTTCTTTCTTTCTTTCTTTCTTTCTTTCTTTCTTTCTTTCTTTCTTTCTTTCTTTCTTTCTTTCTTTCTTTCTTTCTTTCTTTCTTTCTTTCTTTCTTTCTTTCTCTGTCATTGTTTATAAAACATCTCTGCTGCTAGAAGAGACTACTAATTTACGACTAACTGTCCATGGTTCATAACAGTCTTTAAAAAAAAAACACAGTTATGTAATGGCATTCATTTACCTAACATCTAGTGAGAAGAGTCGTTGCATACAATGGGCATACATCTGAAATGTGTTTGGTGCTACGTGTGTAATACTTACAACGTCCATGTGTGTGTGTGTGTAATACTTACAACGTCCATGTGTGTGTGTGTAATACTTACAACGTCCATGTGTGTGTGTGTAATACTTACAACGTCCATGTGTGTGTGTGTAATACTTACAACGTCCATGTGTGTGTGTGTATGCTGTATGTGAGCGGCTTTAAAGCATTTATGGATAGGACAGTGTGCTCCGGATGTTATTCTCTGTAAACAGACCATAAATACATTACAAAATCAAAATAGCTACATAAAGTTCTTTCTGGGCATAGTAAAAGACGAAGTGGAGAAAGAATTGCAAAAAATGCACTGAAATATGAAACAAATGGAGTGAAGGGTCAATGAGGTTAAAGAGAAACTTTACATTGATGAGAGATTTAGTAGTCCCGGGCCGTATTCAGAACAAGAGATCGTAAGGATTGCGCAGGATAGTCCAGAAAGCGGGAACTGACGGCGAACTCTAAGTTACGAGACCAGCTGATGCTGAGGATGATGGTATTGATGCTAGTGACGATCGTGATAACGAAGATAGTTATGATGATAATTCTGATAATGGTGGTGATGAAGATGACGATTGTAGAAACAGATATATTACCTGTCGAGAAGTCTGTCTAGCGTATACTCTGACTGAACATCACCCAGTCTCTTGAGGACGTAGATACTACCGACCGCAAACACTTCTTTGAAGCCAACGTCCACAAATTTTCTGTCCCGCCTCATGACGAGATAGTTGTACGCAGGATTCCGAATGATAACCCTCACCACTGCGGGAGCATTGGCAAGAGCAATGTAGTTAGATGCTCGGTTGAATTCATTTATCGATTTTACGACTCTTACATCGTTGATCGAGTCGCTGGCATCATTTACGTCTGTGGTAGATCGTTGTGTGTAATTCTTCCGCGATCGTGGCCCGAATTCGTAGAATCCGCTTTCAACAATTGACAGAACCGGCACGTCTTGGTGGAGGAGGGACATTCCGCCGGTCATAAATAAATTTGAATCGTAAAAAACTCCTGTCACGTCTGCTTGTTCAGATATATACTTAACACATTCATTAATATCGTTAACAAATTCTGTCCTCTGGTATATCCAATCCAGGTTTTTGGAACTAGCCGGAAATGAATGGTACTGGGTTACTGAAAACAACAACTAAAATTAATCGAATTAAATTATTGTATGTTGTTTGTGATTTGATGTGTAATTTCGTGTTTACTAAAACGTCAGCGATGGAAATAAACATAAGAGTTATAACATCGTGAATAAATCTGGTTTCTTTGTGCTTGTTCAAGGAATATACCAGGAGAAGAAATGTCCATACAGCACATGAACGCAGGCTGTTTTTATGGTTCATCGCCTGTGTCTTATTTGTAGATTCTTTATCTCGAATTGTGTCTATTGAATTCTTTTCAATTTGAGTCCGTAGTACTTGAAAAGGTAGAAGACAAATCACAAATAGTAGCAATATTGTTACTCCATAGTTGTGGAAAAACAGTTTTTCAGGATAAAACCACCATTTCATTTCTCCAAATATTCTGTAGGAAAATCCTGAAATAATGTTGAAATTTAACCAGTTTAGGCAGCTGTACTCGCCCCATCCATAGTACCAAAAATCGGTGCCTATTCCGATTGCAAGTGCGCCAGATGCCCCGAGAAACAAGCTAAAGCAATTCCTGGGAACGAGAAACTGTCTCAACTCAGGAAATACGAGAAAATGTGTGACATAGACCAGGAAAACATCCGGTCGAACATAACAAGTTAGTGTAGCAATGAATGACGCCGTTGTTACTTCTCCATGTCTTTGCTCTGCAACACAGCTTGTCTTAACCTTTTGTTTCAACTTAGAATTCGTCTTTGTTTTATTATCCCTAGAATCACATTGATTTTGGACTCCGTTTGGTGACTTTGCTTTCGTTGTATTCAATTCTGTCTTCATTTTTGTATCTGATTTCTGAAAAGATTTTATCGAATTGTCATTGTTGTTATTGAGTTCGTTGTATGTGCACATCTCACGATGAAACTGGTCTGCTTTAACAGCATCACTGTCTTGTGATACTGTCACTAACAAACTGTCAGCGCTTGACAAGTCAGCAAGCAAGGACAGAGCCAGAAAAGTAAATGGCGCCAAAAAGGAATGAAGCAGACAGTGTGTTCCGAGGACGTTGAGGTGGGTGGATGTGGCCACGAGGATTGCGGAGACACATCCTTTGTCCCAAGATCTGTACAACCGGGCCACACAATGATGGACAGCCAGCGGAAGAAGCGATGAGATGGTCACGTGGGCCACCCGCCATAGCTGCAATCATCAAAATTTTCAGAGGTGAAGTTTGCAATAAAAAAAAGTAATATATGTCGGGTTTTTTTTTTCTGTTTAGCGACAACATCACACGCGATGTAGGGACATTCCGTATTATAGGTGGGTTAGGTTTAGAGTCAGTGTTAAATGAGCGGCAACTACTACTAATTCTCATCATAAACCCTTTCAATATGGAAGTTCCCTAAATGTGGCGTGATTTTGTCCTTAACATAAAATAATCGATGTTTTATTTATTATTTATAATTTGATATTGAAATAATTTGTAGTTGAGCTGAACCCTGTGAAGACTTTCAAGGAAGTTGAGCGATCTCTTTAACTACATACATAGGCAATCTTGTTTTTAAATATGTGTGTATATGTTTTTTTTTTTCTTTCAGTATATTTTAATATATATTTGCCATGTAGTGCAGAACAGTAATAACATTCTTATGAATAACAATTATTTAAAATTTTGTTAAATAATTTTAGAGAGAGAGAGAGAGAGAGAGAGAGAGAGAGAGAGAAAGGGAGAGACAAATAATAAGTAAAGAATAAAAGACAACGAGAGAGAATGAACCCATAAATGATCGAACACAAATCATTATGAGCGGGTAACAGATTGGGCTCACAGGCCTGTCTTACTTTCGGCCCGTCCAAACAGGCATCTTTCATTCTGCAATTATATTGAACCTCTAAGAGAGAGAGACAAACAGTGCTAACTATAAAGGTTCCCTAAATCTGAAACACCCAGCAGTGCCACCTGAAACTGAGACAAATCATCAACACAGTCGCTTTACCAACATTGCGAAACCAATGTCAAAACTGTGCAACCACAAAAGAACATAAGAGGAAACTAACGACGTGTGAAATGAGATATCTGAGACAAGTAGTCATCATAGCCTAATGAGACCATGAACAACATCAACGAATCATAAGAATGGTTGAAACTGTTGGGGTGTAGGCGCTTCTTTGGTCATCATAGCCTAATGAGACCATGAACAACATCAACAAATCATAAGAATGTTTGAAACTGTTGGGGTGTAGGCGCTTCTTTGGTCATCATAGCCTAATGAGACCATGAACAACATCAACGAATCATAAGAATGGTTGAAACTGTTGGGGTGTAGGCGCTTCTTTAAGCCTGAGGATTTAGGGACTCATGGCTAGTGCTGTCGCCACGGACTGTGCAGGTGAGAATTTTATTTTGTTCCCGACAGAAAAAATCCCCAGCCTTACTGAGGATTCGAAGCTGGTTTTCCCGCTTGAGAGCCCAGCGTGCTAACCGTTGGGCCAGACGCTCTTCACTGGTGGAAACAAACAACAAATGTAATTCGATTTTCTGTGAGTAAAGACTGCATAAGTGTGTCCACCTGGTCAGAATAAACTCAGCATTACTGGCTGCAGGAGCATATCACAAGTGAATGGCAACATCGAGACGCCGAGGCTGGCTATGAAGAAGATGGATAGATGAGGTTAACAGCTTGCTAAAATTCAACAATATCACCATGCAGCAAGCTAACGAGCACGCACTACTCCAGAAAGCGACCATAAGCCGTGCCTGCAACACCCAACAGCTTAAGTTGGGGAAAAACAATTGCCAGAAAGAGAGAAAATAGACAATGATAAAAATTAGGTCGACATACACGCAGGTACACATACACACATACAGAGAGAGAGAGAGAGAGAGAGAGAGAAGAGAGAGAGAGAGAGAGAGAGAGAGAGAGACATAACGAAAGGACGAACGAAAGGAAAGACGTTTTCAAAAGGTTACAAATGTTCACGCAGGTCCGTCACGCATTCGGCCCCTCTAAGTACTCGTCTTTCGGACCACACTTGAATTATAGGTTATCAACAATATATGATATGCTTATATAAAATAGACATAATGAAATAATGCAAACACACATCATATATACACAATCATACACACTCCATATATAAACGTGCACACCCCCGTGTGGGTTCCGGGGCCCCATTGTGGGGAAAACAAGAATAGACCCACTGCCTCCCCAAAAGCATGTCGTAAGAGTCGACTAATTGGGGAGCTCCCTTTGAAGTCGGAGTGCATCTGCCGGAGAGGCAATGAACCAACAGTCTTATTTCAAGAGAATGAGATCTGTAAAACTGATGCACACGCAGGTTCTGGAGCAGGACTGCATTTCAATAGTGGACGAGCAACCAGAACTTTCCGCCAGAGTAAACAGCTAGTGAACGCTAAGAAGAAGAAGATAAACGTGCACACACACTCTTATGTGTATGTTTGTTAATGTTTATTCGACCGATCAACATCATAGCACACGGTGTAACCCATAAATGGTCCGCTCTATTTCTGACTCGAGCCTGAGTCTGAAGATTCTTACCTTAGCGCAGTGCACGAACTCATTTGCACCGGCGAGGATCCTGAAGTACTTATGGTAGATTTTTAACTCAAATTTTGTCCGGGTAGCGCCGTTAGGCTACTCTTTTTCGATTTCCAACTGATCAGGTTTTTAATTACGTACTCAAGAATACACACGGGCGTCTGATCTTATTACCCACAGTCCAGGGGAAATTACTGAAATCCCAGCCTTCTCCGGGACTTGAACCCCCAGCACTCAACACGGATACAACTTACACTCTTACTTGCCTTCACACACACAGACATATGCACACTTATACATTTACACACACACACACACACACACACACACACACACACACACACAGAGAGAGAGAGAGAGAGAGAGAGAGAGAGAGAGAGAGAGAGAGAGAGAGAGAGAGAGAGAGAGAGAGACTGCTGTAAAAATATCAAATTCTCACCATATATGGATTCACTTGCAATGCTAGCAACCAACAAATGTTCGCTACTAAGACGTAGAAGTAAGGAAACAGCGGAGACCGCAGCGCGTGCATGCCAGCTTGCAGCTCCATCTGTCGGTATCTGGTTGTATCCTCTGACAGAGGTTCTGTCGGGGTGAAGTCATAAGTGCGGAACCCATAGCCGAATGTTTCTATATGGGCCACTGTGAAAGTAACAACAAATGTGTGAGAAATAGAAATATACAAAAGTATAATAGGCGATAAAGAAATTCACCGGCTGCTGAGTAGAGGTCGGCGTCTGTGGCACGTTGCAAACGCTCCTCGTAAGGCAGGGGTACTGGGTCGAATCCCAGCTGCAGACCATTTGGAAGCAAACGGTTTTGTGTTGGGTTTTACAGTTGTATGAAGAGCCGAACATTCAGAAGCAATGGCAAACTAATAACCTTACATTTGCATAGAAAAAACACAACAGGCAAACAACACTGGGGTTGGTTCTGCAACGTCCTGTCAAGCAGCGGTTCTCAACCTGTGGGTTGCGAGCCTTTATGTCGAAGCAACCTTTCACAGGGGTGAAAAAAAAACGACCATCGGAAAGCACTTGTTCATTAAGTTTATAAGATAGTAACACAAATAATTGTATGTTTGGGGGTCGCCACAACATGGAGAACTGTAAGAAAGGTCGCAACAACATGGGGAACTGTAAGAAAGGTCGCAACAACATGGGGAACTGTAAGAAAGTGTCGCCACAACAATGGGAACAATGCTAATCCTTTAAAATTCTGACTCCGTTTAGATTAGAGCCCACGACGTTTGGATCCGCAAGCGAGCGTCTGGGGATTACACTAAGGTGTTTCCCTAGTAGCTGAACCCTGTAGTTATAAAAATAACAATAATAATAATATGAAGAAGAGTTATAAAACAGAAAAATTAAAAGACGGGAAAGAGGAAGAAGACGAATGAGAAGAAGAAAAAGAAGAAGGATATGAAGAATAAGAAGAAGAAAAGGAGGAGGAACAACAGCAACAACAACAAAATCAACAATAACAACATCGAACACCATATCCACAACAACGTATTGAAAGTGCTACGACTATTACCAGAGATTAATCTTAACACGTGTTGAATATATTGAGCGAAAACTCAAGTGTAACATGAATCTCCTATTGAATCAGCCACCTGCCAAAGTTCCGTCAACTATACGGCTTACCTCTAATGTTCTATTCTACTTTCTATGATTATCCAATGTATTTCTCATTTGTCAATATATGTAATGAATACTGACTGTACTATCTCGTCTAACAGGGACACGTTATATTATTTCAAACTAATAGCACGGCAGGTAATGTATGCTGATTTATGCATGAGTCAAGGGGTCGTGGGCGTCACGAGGGATTGTAATGAAAGTTATCAGAGGCGGAGAGTGGTTTCAGTGGCACCGGTGTTTAAAAGATGGTATCTGGGTTTACATACCACTTGTGGTGGTCATAAGAATAATTTCACTGCCCCTTAATAAGTTTATCGTAAAATAGACTAAGGATTTGTTGAAATCAGATATGTTGGACTGAATGGAGCAGATATCGCAGCCTAGCTGTAAGCAACAGCACGATACTCCACCATTATTTTAGGAGCAAGCAAGAAAGATGCATATAGCATTAACGCAGGGATATGTGAGAACGGACAAGGAGGTGAACTGGCAATTATTCAAGGCTGTGTCATGTATAGAGCATTTGTGATCCATGGATTTTTGTCAGATGTGGATTTGTGTAGGCCTGATTTTTACACCAAGCTTCTTATGGTTTCTCACAGCTGCATGAGAGTTACAAGCTTCTTATGGTTTCACACAGCTGTATGAGAGTTACAAGCTTCTCATGGTTTCACACAGCTGTATGAGAGTTACAAGCTTCTCATGGTTTCACACAGTTGTATGAGAGTTACAAGCTTCTCATGGTTTCACACAGTTGCATGAAAGTTACAGGCTTCTCGTGGTTTCACACAGTTGTATGAAAGTTACAGGCTTCTCGTGGTTTCACACAGTTGTATGAAAGTTACAGGCTTCTCATGGTTTCACACAACTGTATGAGAGTTACAGGCTTCTCATGGTTTCACACAGTTGTATGAAAGTTACAGGCTTCTCGTGGTTTCACACAGTTGTATGAAAGTTACAGGCTTCTCATGGTTTCACACAGCTGTATGAGAGTTACAGGCTTCTCATGGTTTCACACAGCTGTATGAGAGTTACAGGCTTCTCATGGTTTCACACAGCTGTATGAGAGTTACAGACTTCTCATGGTTTCACACAGCTGTATGAGAGTTACAGACTTCTCATGGTTTCACACAGTTGTATGAAAGTTACAGGCTTCTCGTGGTTTCACACAGTTGTATGAGAGTTACAAGCTTCTCATAGTTTCACACAGCTGTAGGAGACTTTCCTTATGAAAAAGATTGTGGCCTCACCCAATTATAGACTTCCTACTGCCCTGCTAAACTAACAATGGGTGGGTAAATATAATCTCTGCAACCAAACATTTTTTGCAATGCAAAGTTCTTTGATCACATGATGCGAAAATGTGCACTGGACAATTTTTTTGACGACTGGAAAGAGCATTGGTAGAAGAGGCAGAGACAGACAAAGAGAAATGATGGTGGATGGCTTAAGCCAGTGGTTTGAAGGAATATTATCACTAAAATTGAACAAAAATACCAAAGACCGAAATTTGTTGAGATGCATGAACCCCTACGCCAACTGGCACGGCACTTAATAATGATACAAACTTCGTTGCGGACACTGTACATAAACCTATGCATCATCTTCGGTAATCATCAGGTCCTTTGCAGAACGTAGCTCTAGTCACGGCATGAGTAAAAGTCTCTTTCTCTAGACAATCCTCCAGCCCTATGTGGTTTCATAGTAAATGAATCTTCAATGTCTTTCATCCACGTTCATGGAGGTCGGCCTCTGCCTTGTCTTCAGGAACTGTACCCTTTATCACCGTTCTCTCTTGGCCGCCATGACATTTAGCATGGCCAAATTACATCAGCTTTGGTAACAGAATGCTGTTTGTGAGCCAATTCTCCGCGATGTTCAGATCACGTAAGAAATCGGGGTATTCTCTTTCATGGTTCACTGTACTCTAACAATATCTCTGTAGCGTGTCATTTAAAAAGCTCACACTTTATTTTTCCTTCAATGATTAAGTAAAAGTCCACGACTCGCGTTCATAAGTTACCACGAGAACATTTATTCTGCGAATCAAATAGCAATACGAATCAAATAGCAATTCGAATCAAAAACAATACGAATCAAACAGCAATACGAATCAAATGGCAATGCGAATCAAATGGCAATACGAATCAAATGGGAACCAGTAGTAACGTTGCCATTAAATGCCTTGTGTTCAGGCCCTGCGATATTTTCTGTCGTCCATGACAAGTCAAAAATATTTTGGTAATGTTACACATATCGCAGCCATGCTGCAAACGGACACAATGCATTTAGTCTTCGGATGACCGCAGAAGAAGAAGAACGCGTCATTCATCGAGAATGCTCAGAAAGATAGAGATGGACTAGGTTCGAAGACTTGTTTGTGGTCTGTGTCTCTGAGACAGTCGCCTCTGACAAATATCTGTTCTACATCTGTGCCTGGCCACGCAGGCGTGCAAGGAAACGAACATGCTGATGGGCTTGCAGGTAACACGACTGTCTATGGCGTACGAGCCATGGAAGAGACTGATACACCGAACGATGAGCTAGAAGTATGGTGTTGAACAGTACGAGGTAACTAACAGTAAATCTGCAACAATGACCAGGCAGCAAATTCAGCAAATTAAAAGCGGTGTGGCCGAACAAGAGCAATATGCTGGAAGACAAAGAAGATTAGGAAACCAACACAGAACTGGTGTCATCGGCCGTTATACGCTCCGGGATTTACTGAGTAGGTGTTCCGAGAACTATGGACTGAATAATTTGGGTGTGCAATGGGGATATGATGTAGACTACCAGACTAACTAACCCAATAAGTGCCTTGTAGTCTATGTTCAATACTTGAATAGTACCATATCCCCCGTGTGGGTTCTGGGGTCCTATTAAACAAAAAACAAGAATAGACTCACTGCTTAACCTAGGGGGTGCCTAGTTGACCGTGTTCTTAGTGCACTTGTATTCATGGCGAGGCGCAGACGCCGTCTGGAGGTGACAGGTTCAATTCCCGGCACGGTAACTATATCTTTCAATTTTTATGTTGTCTAGTGTGTTCTTCTATCTATCTACTTCTTTCTATGAGTGCCGATCAATACACTTTCTGTTACTTGATTAATTCATAATATTTAACGGCCTCGAAGGTTCCCCTCTGTTTATTTATAGGAATGCATAACCTAAAGCAAGTCATCATATTCGACTAATTGGGAGCTTCCTTTGAAGTCGGAGTGCATCTGCCTGAGAGGCAAGAAACCAGCAGCCTTGCATACAAATCAGATCTGTAAAACGGATGCACACGCAACACACAGCTCCTGGAACAGGACTGCAGTCCAAAAGTGTGTGAGTGTGTGTGTGTTTGTTTGTAGGAGGGTTGGGGGGGGGGGGAGCGAGTAATTGAATTCATTTTTTTTTAAACGCACACGTCAACATTTTTGTTTTGTTTTGGGGTATCTTCTTGCAGTCGTCACAAGTGATTTTTCTTTCCAAACATAAAAATTCAACAGAAGTGGCCTCACGTACTTAGCCATAGTTCTGTTCTATGCGCCCCCGCAGTCTGTTGAAAATCTACGTCTGTGTTTAATGGTGCGTAGCAGACTGGCTTGAACAACAAACTTGTGTGAAGGAGCTGTTACTCTTTTACTTTATCTGATCAACTGGAAATTGTCAATGGGACGTGGGTCATAAATGCTAATGGCTGTTTACTTGTTGCCTTTCACACGCAGCCAACGGCAAATGTTGGCATGTAGATATGTTACAGTGATACGATCTTATATAACTTGGGAAAATTAGGGTGGGGTTTGTGGGGGGGGGGGGGGAGGGTTCGTATTGTACAAGGTTTTAGTCTGCTCTCCTCTCTCTCTCTCTCTAACCCTCCCCCCCCCCATTTCTCTTTGTCTCTTTCTCTCATTCTCCCCATTCTCTCTCTCTCTCTCTCTTTCTCTCTCTCTTTCTCTCTCTCTCTAATTAGAGAGTTTCAAGTTAAAAAGATCAAAATTCTCTTTCTTTCTCTCTCTCTCTCTCTCTCTCTCTCTCTCTCTCTCTCTCTCTCTCTCTCTTTCTCTCTCTGACTAATTAATTAGAAGGTTTAAAGTCCAGAGCATTATTTTATGTTGCTAACCAGACGTGGTGAGAATTCTGGTCGATTACCAGATCAAAATGGGACGGTGATGAGCCCCTCCCCGCTCCCCCCACCACCAACATCAACAAAATAATTACCTACCCCTAAATATCTAAACATCATCTGTTTGCGGCGCCCATGTACTAATTTGCTTATACATATACATTAGGCGGATTATTGGCTATTAAAAAAAATGTGGGTCAAATTGAATTCTAACGAGCGTGTAAATCAAAACTTAAATAAATACAAGATTCTGATGTACATGAAATGAGAGCCTATACAACATTCAACCAATAGCATTCAACATTTTCTAATACAGGTTCAGTAATTCTGTTACAACTACTCCAAAACCAAATTAATGTACACATTCTAAATTTTTCTTTCAAGAGATTCACATTTTTGTGGCCAGCTCTAAGGAAGCTATAAGGTCTACTCTTTCTTGCTCACTCATCAAACCAGCAAAAACCATCTTGTTGCCAGTGATGTACTTCTTGGTGATGTCCAAATATTCAAAGAGGGTTTGTCTGGTCCATGTAATACCTTTGTTCTTATTTGTTTCAGCATAAGCAAACCCTGGTGCTTGTCCAGTCTTGCGACCAAACAGACAACTGATGTTAGGTCGAGTCTTGTGTTTGCCCCTAGCCTCCACAGTTCGGCACTGCTAGCATCTGGTCACAAAGACTTTTTTGCCCTTTTCAGGCTTACCACCATTGATATCGACTGGTTTCTTTTCCTTTTTTTAAGGCATTCTGGTGAGGAAATGTTGAAACCAGGAACTGTACAAAGGACGAGAATGTGGTGAGTCACTATACTCCAGTGTGGTTCTTCTCAAATGAAGGACGCAAAGTGATGATGCAAGAGAGTCGTCGGTATTCAGTAACAGCTACTATATATTGCAGCCCAAGTTGTTTCCTCCAAGCATAGGGGTCGACTTATAGGACAGGTAAAAAATGAAAACTGTTACCAACAAGTTGTTAAAATATTTTACTGGGCTCCCAACACTCACGGTACGCCGATAACCGTAACTGTAGTAGATAGATTCTCATGAATACATCCCACTAAAATATGTTTAGTGAACATATTTGTCATATTAGCACACTAATGTTTATGGGTCGACCTATACGGTAGGTATAAGCCTAACACAGGATTGTAAGTTACAACTTTAGAGTCGACTTTACGCCAGGTCGCCTTGTAAGCTACAATTTATGGTAATGACAACAAGACAAAATGTGTGTAGCTATTACCTTCAACAGACTGGTAGACCTCGTCCGGATGGACCATCCACCAGTTTCTCGGGTTGAGAACATATATGACACGAATCGCCCACAAGGTCACAGTAACGAGAAGTGGCGTAAATCTAGGAAACAGCTGTGTCGTATCATCACCTCGTCTGAGCATATCTGCATGATTTTCTGAATTCTTTTGGGCAGCAGCTTTAAGCCTGCCTCTTGGACTTCTTTTTTGTTTGTTGTTCCCTGCTTTGGGTGACTGGGAACCTCGCACTGGTGCTCTAGTCATTGTCTGTTTGAGACAGTTCTAAGAGTGAAAACAAGTGCATTAACCTTCAGAATTATACATATAAGTAAGTAAATTAGAAATCCTTTTTCCACGCCTTTAGGCTAAAGGGCAATTAGGGCTGGACCTAAATTTTTTATAGACCAATCCGCACAAGATGGGTGATGTGGTCAGAATCACTTCGGTCACCTTTACTTCCCGGGACTGCACCCCGAACCCACTCAAGGCTGGGTCAACTTGGGAGTCAAAGTCATTGAGCCGGAGGGTCTGGGTTAACACCGACATCGAATGGGATTTTTTAAAATGGTTTTGGCTTCCAGGTTTGCCCAGCCTAACATGGGTACAGGTAAAGTCCTGGGAAATAAAAGCGGCAGGCGTGGTGTTGACCACATCACTCTTCCCCCCCCCACCCCCTCCCCAGTACCGAAGGTTTATTAAATATACATCTAGGACTATGTAGCCATTTCGCCTATGGACTGGACAAGGATCCTTTACTTAACAAAAAATTCAACACGTATAAAAAACAAAAACAAAAATGTTCTGTTCGGTGTCTTTGGCGTGGGGCACGAGGTTCCAACCCATGGGTCGCAACCTCACATGGGTTTCAGAGGGCGGTTCTGTGGTGAGCGGTTATGCCCTGTTCTGAGGCGAAGGATAATGACTTGTTTTTATCTGTCCAGAATAAAATAGTTGTCTTGTGCTGGGGCTGGTGGTTTCCTGATCCATTTAATTAGCCTTTTCTTATGGTGGCATGTGACTAGTACATCCGGCTGCTCTTTTGTCGCACCTTTCCCTGCCAGTTGATCAGCTCTCTCATTTCCAGGCAGTCCATAATAGGACGTTATCCACTGCTGACTCTTCGCTGACAGCCCAGCTGTGTCAGTAGTGTTTGCAATTCTAGTAGTTTCCTAGATAGACTAGAGTTTCAAATATGGATTTTGCTTCAGTCAGCCTCAAAGTCATTTACAGGAATTGCTTCTAATGTTGCAATGATACCCCATGCATAATGGGTTTTATTGAATTTCGATTGTTGTGTGTGTGTTGTGTGTGTGTGTGTGTGTGTGTGTGTGTGTGTGTTTGTGATTCAGTTAGTAAATTTAAAAAAAAATAACAAGCAAAAGAAATACACAAGAAAACATAATATCCCCGCATCTCACCCGGCTAAAGTCATCACACTCTTGCTTCTACTTGATATGTACTAAAAGGCAAAACGACGTTGAAGAGGCAAAAGATAGTTAGACACAAACTAGAAGGGTAGAAGACGTTGGGTAATATGTGTGTTAGGTAGCTCTGTAACTCTTGGTAAGGGATGAAATAGGAAAAAGAGGGATAGGGGAAGGGGGATGTAGGAGAGACACACCAGATTATCTAAACACACATTCCCATACTCAGCAGACAGTGTGTACAAAGGTACCGGTACTCGCCGCACACAGATTATAAAAACGGTGCCAGTACTCACCACAGATTGTCTAAACAAGGTGCAGAGGCTCACTATAAAATGTCTATCACAGTAGGGTTAAATAATATTCTAAAACGGTGCCGGTATTGCGTACTTTTGCATACTAGCAGAAGAAAAGGTCCTGGAAATAAGACCACAAGATACATTTGCAATCCACGTTAAAAAAGAAAGAAAAGACCAAATAGAAAGGTACTACCATATTCAACCCTACATACAAAGTTAAACGTTAGTTGCGTATCCTTTACAGGACGTTGCGGAAGCAACCCCAGCAATGTTTTGGCTGTTGTGGTTTTTCATAAGCAAATTTACGTCCAGTAGTATACCATTACCTCTGGACCGTCGGCTTCTTGATACCACCGTCTAACGAACGAACGAATGAACGAACAAACTTTGTTTTCAAAGGTTTAAGAATTGGACACACAGGCCCGTCTTACATTCTGCCTTTCTGACCTAACGCCATGCATACACTATTTATGCACACATTGTTTTAGAAGATAGTAATAATAATAATAATAATAATAATAATAATAATAATAATAATAATAATAATAATAAAAATAAAGATAATAACAAGCATCATCAATAACATCGTTGTAACAATGTACTCTAAGTATGCCTACATTTTAGAACAATTATAATACTAAATATAATAAATCTTGGTGGAAATCAACATTATTCTTAATGAACTTTATCTTCCAAGGGGGCATGTAGTCTGAAGTGAGATAATATTCAAAAAGCTTCCAATTGTATTTGTAGGGGTTGTTGATATTTTTGATTGGTTGTGGAAGTTGGTTCCACAGATGAGCTGCAGAGTTAGCCAAGCTTGTTTTGTACAAGTCTGTTCTAGGTTTAGGGATGTGTAATATGTTTAGGCGTTTGCTATGTACTTGTAGAATGGCCAAAGGTAGTCTGGAGCATTTTTTGATAAGATTTTGTTAATAAATTTGGCCTTGTTGAAAAGTAACCGTTTATGGAAGGGTAGTAACTTCAGGTCTTTATGTAAACCGGAACTATCTCTTCCATGATTATTACTGACTAAGCGTACAGCTCTTTTTTGAAGTGCTTTAAGCCGTTTCATGACTGAACTTGGACATCCATCCAATATTGTGAAGCAGTAGTCTAGATGGGTCTGAATATGGGAGATATAGAAGATCCTTCTGGTGTTTTCATCCAGAAAGTGTTTAATTTTTGCAGCTGGTATACTTTTTTAGCTGTTTGTTTCACTAGAGCTTGCACATGAGAAGTAAAGGTTACATTTCTATCAACAATTACGCCTAAAGATTTGTGCTCAGTTACACATTCTACTGGGTTGTTACTGGTGTAGAGTTGAAGAGTATTATGTGCAGATAAAGAATATAGCTTTTGTCTTGTTGATATTAACATGCATTTTGTTTTACTAATGTTTATTTGCATGCGGTTTGCATTGCTCCAGGAAACCACATTGTCTGTATTTTTAGGTTTGTGAGTATGTGTGTGTATTTATGTATGTAGGTTGTAAATATATGGGTGTATGTGTGATTGTATATGAGTGTGATTGTGTGTGTGTCTGTATTATGTATGCATGTATGTATGTATGGAGGCATATATAAGTGAATGTTTGTATGAGGGTGTCTGTTTGTGTGATTAGTTATGTGTGTATGCATGCATATGTGTTTATGTATGTTATGTGTGTGTATGTATGCACGTATGTGTGTTTGTATGCATGTTGGTGGATGTATGTATGTATCTGTGTAAGTATGTGTGTGAATTTATGTGTGTTTGCAAGTATGTATGTATGCTTGTAAGTATGTGAGTGTATGCATGGTTGTGTGTATGTATGCATGTGTGTGTGTGCGCGCGCGCATGTATGTCTATGTAAATGTGTGTTTATGTTTGTATGTCGATGTATGTTTGTATTATGTATGCATGCAGATTTAGCCTATGTATGTACACATGTGTATGTGTGCGTATATGTATGTAGGTGCATGTATGTATTATGTATGTCTGTATGTATGAGAATGTATGAATGTAAATGTGTAAGTATGTGATTGTATCTGTGTGTGTATATTTATGTATAATGTGGGTATATGCAGGTATATATAGCTGTGTAGGTATGTGGGTGTTTGTGTATTTATAAAAGCATGCAAGTGTGCATGTGTGTGTGATTGTGTGTGTATGCATGTGGATATATGAAAGTATATTTAGGTATGTATGTGTGTGTGTAAAGATGTGAGATTAGGTATAAATGTGTGGATATATGTATGCATGTGTGTGGGTGTATGTATTCATGTAAGTGTAAATGTGTGGTTTTGGACATATGTTGGTGTCTGTACATGTAATGGTATATGGGTGTATGCATGGGTGCATGTATAGATGTGTATATATGGAATGCGTGTGTGCATGTATATCCATAAATGTATGTGTGTGTGTTTTCTGTTTGTGCATTTATTTCTGTGTATGTGTATGCTTGTATATGTGTGTAGATGCGGGTGTGTATGTATCACGTATGTCTGTATATGAGTTCACCTGTATGAAAATGTAGATGTATGTATACGTGTGTGTGAGTGTGTATGATGGCGTACACACGATGTGTGTATGCATTATATATTTCTTTTTAAATCCATAACATGCATTATTGATAACAGGTATTAGTAATCTGAAAAATGAGTACTTAGAAGGGCCGAATGTCATACGGGCCTGCGTGCCCAATTTGTAACCCTTTGAAAATAAAGTTTGTTCGTTCGTTCGTTCGTTCACATTGTTTAATTCCTGATGTAAAGATGACTCTAAAATATCACACGTTTGAGCACTTGTATAGACTGTGCAGTCATCCGCAAATAAATCACACGGCGACGACAGACATAAAGGAAGATCATTTATTTAAATGGCAAATAACAGAGGGCCAAGAATAGAGCCCTGGGGTACTCCAGTATTCACCTCAGTAGTCTGTGACAGGGATTTATTGTATGAAACTACCTGTTTCCTATTTAACAGAAAGGATCTTAATAGCATTAATAGATTACAATTGAAGTTCATTATTTCTAGTTTTCTACTAAGGATAGTATGGTCTATCATGTCAAAGGCTTTTCTAAAGTCTATAAACACGCACACAGCTATTTTATCTTCGTTAATATTCTGATGCCAGTTTTCAATCATGTTTGTTAAAGCTGAATGGCACGAATACTTTGGTCGAAATCCTGACTGGTTATCAATTATAAGTTTGTTTATATCTAGATGTTGGAGGGTTATTGTGTGAATGTGTTTTTCTAGCGGTTTTGATAACGATGATAATAAGGAGATGGGTCTATAGCTACTTGGGAGACTACTGTCCAAAGAGCCAGATTTGAGATGTGGATATGCTTTGGCAATTTTAAAAGCTGAAGGAAAATAGCCTTTGGCAAGACACTGGTTATATATACACGTTAACGACTCGCAGACAACTGATGCAGCACACCGAATGATCCTATTGCTGATTCCATCTAAACCTGAAGCGTTACTGCTTTTTAGACTAGTGAGATATGTAATACTTCAGTAACTGACATGAGCGGCATGTCAGAAGGAATGT